CTGTGACCTCACCCTCTGCTCTGTGTACAGCTCAATCACAGTCACCCTCGGGGCCCACAACATCAACAAGCAGGAAAAGACCCAGCAGGTCATCCCTGTGAAGAGAGCCATCCCACACCCAGACCACAATAATATGGCCAACGACATCATGTTGCTGCAGGTGAGGTAACCCCCTGCTGCTCCTGTCTGCAGGGTATACATGGCTTCCCCTCCTCCCATCCTGGCTCTCTGATGAGTCCCAGTGCTTCAAGGGAGAGGAAGACAGCACACACCCATGAGGGTATCCAGGCACAGAGGTCACTGGTCACTGGATGAGCTGGCCTTTGCCTTCCCCCTTTAGCTGCAGAGGAAGGCCAAGAAAAACCAAGCTGTGAAGCCCCTCGGTCTGCCCAAGAGCAAGAACCAGGTGAAGCCAGGGCAGGTGTGCAGTATGGCCGGCTGGGGACGAGACCAGCGGATGGTATTGCCAGACACACTGCAGGAGGTGGAGCTAACAGTGCAGAAGGACAAGGAGTGCGAGTCACTCTTCCCTGGCAATTACACCAGAGACACCCAGATCTGTGCAGGGGACCCAACGAAGAAGAAGGCCGGCTTCAAGGTAAGGTTTCCCATCATTCTCAGTGGGCCCTGGGAGGATCTTGGAGAGCCCGGGGCACTTGGCGTGGCCCTGTCCACATGTCTCAGCGTGAGTGCCCGCGCTGCTGGGTTCACTGGCCCAGTCTCCAGCTCCTTCCCATGTGGATCAGGATGGAGGCTGGGAAAGTCTCACCCCTCCACAGCACTGCTGCCTGTTTCTCTGAGAACTGGAGAGAAAGGCTTGGTCTGTGTTCAGCTGGGAAGAACAGGCAGAGCCAGGCTAGACCCCCAAACCGAGGGGCAAAGAGGCCTGTCCTGGTCCTGGTTCCACCACAGCTCCCTAGCAGAGACCACCACGGGCCAGGCAGCAGTGGGCCAACCTCAGTCCTTCCTCCTTCTGCCACAGGGAGACTCCGGGGGCCCCCTCGTGTGTGGCAAAGTGGTCCAGGGTATTTTTTCCAGCGGACGTCGGAATAGGAAACCTC